TGTCTCTCTCATTTTCTCACTTTCATTCTGAATTTCTCAGGGGCATTATGTTGTAACAAGCTCCTGCACTCAGGCTCCCTCACCCCCCAAACCCTCCCTTATCTAGGTCCTAGGAACCAGATGGTAGAGGCATCTGGCTCTGGGGAGGAGCTGGGATTTGCAAACAGCCCAGAGAGCTCCCCGCTCTGTTCCCCACAAACGCTGATCGCCCCCACACTCACCAGCCCCAGTCCTGGGGGGCAGGAGAAAGGCAACAGGCAGCAGGATCAGGATCAGCATCGTCTCTGTCTGGGGAAAGCGACAGGGCTTGTGACAAAGCCCTGGGGGCTTTATAGAGCCAGAAGCAACCCCGAAGTCATGTACGTTCTCCCCTGGTGGGGGACTCAGAAACCCCTGCTGATATGTGTGGGGCCAAGGGAGTCAGCTGGTGGCTGGAAAGCACCCTCCCTCTGGAGGAAAGAGCCCCCGGAAAGTCCCCCTGAAACAGGATGGTGCCCCAACCATCTGGAAGCAGGGCCCCCTGGAGAACGCTGGCTTGGCTCAGCTCCACACTTCCTGCCCAGCTGTGGCCAGGAATGAGGAACTAACTGAAGGTTCCTGGAACCCGACCACAGATCCCGTGGCAGAAACTCTCCCCGAGGCTGGGGGCATGCCACGTCCCAGGCAGCAGAGCTGGTGGAGGACAGAGTCCACGGTGATGGGCACCAGGGAAGTCTCTGTGCAGATGGCATGACAGCTACCATATCCCTCTGGTTCCCGAAAGAGCCAATGTCCCCTCACACAACAAGGTGGGGTTGTGGGATCGTCTTTGACTCTCGGATTCTCTTGCAAATTAGATGGTTTGAGCCAAAGAGGTGGGGGCGGGAGGAAGAGCTTGAAGAGGTGACCCCTAAATGCACAAAGCCCCTGGTCCTCTCCTCACCCCTCCACTCCCTTAGGGTGCCCCGTTACTGCATACACAGCACCCACAGAGTATGGGAACCCCCTTTTCCTCCCAGCTTTCCAAAACTATTGATCATTTGTGTTGCTCTCCCCTGGAATCTGGAATCTCCCCCCATCCTCCCTAAAGCGCGGCCCCCAAAAGCAGATAAAACGCTCCCAAAAAAGCGTCGTTCGATGAGAATCATGGAATCGTCGGGTCGGAAGAGACCTCACGCGGCCCTCGAGGTCGCTTCCTCAACAAGACCTGCTTTGAGATTGCTCCAGCCAGCCTCTGAGGAACCCAAGGGTGCAGTTCCCCAGGCTCTGTTGCCTTGAATACTTCTCCGTTAACTATACAGCCTTAAGTCCGATCATCCCCTGCGTTGGCAGGTTTCACTTCTCTCCTGCTATTGACTGGGTGGAGTTTTCGGCCACCCAGAACTCTTCTAGTGAAGTTGGAAGTAAAACTGACCTTAAACAACTCAGCTGGCTCCTAGCAGGACCCAGATGTGGGGGGTGGCTGGATAGAGGGGCAGGGAGCCCTACAGCCCCTCACCTGAGGCCTGGAACCCTCAGGCCCAGGCCTGCAATAAGTTGTTCCCAATCCCCTTCTGCATGTGGGTCGTGTTCCCTCTCCCTCCTGTGAGTTAAGGGGGCTGGTGTCTCCCCTGCACAGCAGAGCACCAGCCACATTCACCACCTGCCCAGCGCAGGGTGGGGAGGGAGGAACCTCCTGTGGGCAGCACAGCTGCCTGGGCTCAACTCTGGGTAGGCCTTGATCCAGCTGTGCATCCCATAGGCCCAGCTGTGCATCCCATAGGCCCAGCTGTGCTTTCCACGTCTGCAGCTGTGCTTTCCATAGCCCCAGCTGTGCATTGCATAAGTCTCCAGCTGTGCATCGCATAGGCCCAGCTGTGCATCGCATAGGCCCAGCTGTGCATTCCATAGGCCCAGCTGTGCATTCCACAGCCTATGTGCATTCCACAGCTCCAGCTGTGCATTCCATATGCCCGGCTTCACAGGGCACCAGCTGTGCAGTGCTCTGGGCCTTGGGCCATGCCTCACCGAGCGGCCTTATCCCCAGATCTTGAGTGTGAGAAAGAAGCCGGCCCAGCGCTCCCTTGCTGACTCGGAGGTTTCTGCAGGTCTCCGCAGGAAGCCACGTCCCTCCCCCACAACTGGCCATGGCTAAGCCGTAAGGACAGAAGTCTGTTTGCATACGACTGCCCTGACACTGGGGCTTTCCGTTCACACATTTCACAATCAGCAAGTGCTCCTTACTCTGCCTGTCTCACATTGCACACGAGAATGACACGCACGTCGCAGGAAGATCAACACAACCAGCAGAGCGTGAGCTGAAAACGGAAAGGGGGACCTGAAATCAGTTGCTCAAGGTTAAACGTATTCATGTCCATGGTGGGCAGGGGTCATCACACAGCGGCTGCGACAACCCTTTATAAGTTCACACCAGAATGTTTCCTATTTCTCTTGAAAACAAGGTATTTCCAGACAACTAGACAAATTTAGGCTTTTCCCCTTACGCTGCAAGACCTCTGCCCACCCGGGGCCTCTCCTGCCCCGGTGCTGTCCGGCTGCCTTGTGAGAAAGGGCTAAATCTCACAATAAAAAAGCTTTAGGCCAATCATAAACCTGACAGCACCGACTGTGGTGCTGAGGGTAACGGCTACGAAAAGCTGCAAGACTATTTTCAGGGGAAGCTTCAGCACACGCACAAGATCCCGGCCTGGAAATGAAAATGCAGCTTCTCCGCTATCCCCCAGGAACAGGCGTGAAACCCATCACAGCAGAAGCTGTGAACCTGATCAACGGTGCGGTACCTGAAGCAGTGTGAGGTCACTGGGGGCGGGGGATGGGATGGGGGCGGTACCTGTAGCAGTGTGAGGTCACTGGGGGCGGGGGATGGGATGGGGGCGGTACCTGTAGCAGTGTGAGGTCACTGGGGGCGGGGGATGGGATGGGGGCGGTACCTGTAGCAGTGTGAGGTCACTGGGGGCGGGGGATGGGATGGGGGCGGTACCTGTAGCAGTGTGAGGTCACTGGGGGCGGGGGATGGGATGGGGGCGGTACCTGTAGCAGTGTGAGGTCACTGGGGGCGGGGGATGGGATGGGGGCGGTACCTGTAGCAGTGTGAGGTCACTGGGGGCGGGGGATGGGATGGGGGCGGTACCTGTAGCAGTGTGAGGTCACTGGGGGCGGGGGATGGGATGGGGGCGGTACCTGTAGCAGTGTGAGGTCACTGGGGGCGGGGGATGGGATGGGGGCGGTACCTGTAGCAGTGTGAGGTCACTGGGGGCGGGGGATGGGATGGGGGCGGTACCTGTAGCAGTGTGAGGTCACTGGGGGCGGGGGATGGGATGGGGGCGGTACCTGTAGCAGTGTGAGGTCACTGGGGGCGGGGGATGGGATGGGGGCGGTACCTGTAGCAGTGTGAGGTCACTGGGGGCGGGGGATGGGATGGGGGCGGTACCTGTAGCAGTGTGAGGTCACTGGGGGCGGGGGATGGGATGGGGGCGGTACCTGTAGCAGTGTGAGGTCACTGGGGGCGGGGGATGGGATGGGGGCGGTACCTGTAGCAGTGTGAGGTCACTGGGGGCGGGGGATGGGATGGGGGCGGTACCTGTAGCAGTGTGAGGTCACTGGGGGCGGGGGATGGGATGGGGGCGGTACCTGTAGCAGTGTGAGGTCACTGGGGGCGGGGGATGGGATGGGGGCGGTACCTGTAGCAGTGTGAGGTCACTGGGGGCGGGGGATGGGATGGGGGCGGTACCTGTAGCAGTGTGAGGTCACTGGGGGCGGGGGATGGGATGGGGGCGGTACCTGTAGCAGTGTGAGGTCACTGGGGGCGGGGGATGGGATGGGGGCGGTACCTGTAGCAGTGTGAGGTCACTGGGGGCGGGGGATGGGATGGGGGCGGTACCTGTAGCAGTGTGAGGTCACTGGGGGCGGGGGATGGGATGGGGGCGGTACCTGTAGCAGTGTGAGGTCACTGGGGGCGGGGGATGGGATGGGGGCGGTACCTGTAGCAGTGTGAGGTCACTGGGGGCGGGGGATGGGATGGGGGCGGTACCTGTAGCAGTGTGAGGTCACTGGGGGCGGGGGATGGGATGGGGGCGGTACCTGTAGCAGTGTGAGGTCACTGGGGGCGGGGGATGGGATGGGGGCGGTACCTGTAGCAGTGTGAGGTCACTGGGGGCGGGGGATGGGATGGGGGCGGTACCTGTAGCAGTGTGAGGTCACTGGGGGCGGGGGATGGGATGGGGGCGGTACCTGTAGCAGTGTGAGGTCACTGGGGGCGGGGGATGGGATGGGGGCGGTACCTGTAGCAGTGTGAGGTCACTGGGGGCGGGGGATGGGATGGGGGCGGTACCTGTAGCAGTGTGAGGTCACTGGGGGCGGGGGATGGGATGGGGGCGGTACCTGTAGCAGTGTGAGGTCACTGGGGGCGGGGGATGGGATGGGGGCGGTACCTGTAGCAGTGTGAGGTCACTGGGGGCGGGGGATGGGATGGGGGCGGTACCTGTAGCAGTGTGAGGTCACTGGGGGCGGGGGATGGGATGGGGGCGGTACCTGTAGCAGTGTGAGGTCACTGGGGGCGGGGGATGGGATGGGGGCGGTACCTGTAGCAGTGTGAGGTCACTGGGGGCGGGGGATGGGATGGGGGCGGTACCTGTAGCAGTGTGAGGTCACTGGGGGCGGGGGATGGGATGGGGGCGGTACCTGTAGCAGTGTGAGGTCACTGGGGGCGGGGGATGGGATGGGGGCGGTACCTGTAGCAGTGTGAGGTCACTGGGGGCGGGGGATGGGATGGGGGCGGTACCTGTAGCAGTGTGAGGTCACTGGGGGCGGGGGATGGGATGGGGGCGGTACCTGTAGCAGTGTGAGGTCACTGGGGGCGGGGGATGGGATGGGGGCGGTACCTGTAGCAGTGTGAGGTTATTCAGGGTGGGGGATGAGATGAGATGATCTCACCTGTGCGAGAACAGGTGCACATAAAAGTGCCATCATCCCTCTGCATCAGGTAGAGATCGAGTCCCTCCCCCATCCCAAAGGGGAGCCCCCCAGCTGGAATGCCTCCTCTGTGATGCTCTTCCTGCAGGATCCCTGTGCCTGGAGCCATGGAGTTCACTGGGGGGGCAGGAAGGGATGGGAGGGACCCCAGGGTGTTGTCTGGCAAATCAACAGCTCAGGCCTTACTGGCAGGCATCGGTGCCAAACACACAGGAGTAAGCGCACACATTAGTCTCGGTGTAACCGGCTTCAGTACCACTAGATGGGGCAGTGAACCTCTCCCAGATGAACCAAGCAAGGGGGAGAAGCAGATACATTGGAGAGCAGTGGTTAGGGATGCTGAATATAGTTTAATCAACTAATTGATGAGTGGATGGCTTTTCTGTTGATTTGATGAGAAGCAGACAAGCTGGCTATGAATGAACAGGGTGCCATGATAGCCAGGAAGGCTAATGGCCTATCAGGATGCATTAGGAAGTGTATTGCCAGCAG